AGGAGTTCTTATCCTCCCATTTTATGAGGCCCTTTCATAGCAGCTGCCTAGCAAGGCTTAAGAGGTTTATGACTTGTGAGCATGGAGGTCTCAAAGCCAAGCATGGCACACAGAATATACAGAATTAAAGGCTGTTTTGCAAATAAGACATAATTGAGTTTTGCTTGCAGACTCCCTTGAGTGGTTTCACTGGTCCCCATGGAACTGCAGACTCCCTTCTGCCAGTGATAACTGCTGCTGTTTGTGATGTACTTGCTTATCTTGACATGAAGCCAATCATGTCATGCCAATCAAGGGTCTTTGATTATTTCCAGTGTGGCCAGTTTGCTTTGAACTCTCACAGTTTCAGGATGGAAGCCTGCATCCCCAATTCACATTAGGCCAAACTTAGCCTTTTTTTTTTTTAGATAAGATCTCCCGTAAACAAGCCCTGAAGGGCAAAGAATATTGCTTAAAGACAAACATTCAAGTTTGAGAGAAGGAACTTGCACAGTTTTGAACTGATTTGGCAGAAAGGCTTTTAGTACTCTTTAGGATGAGATGTAGCGATGCATTGAATAATGAATGATCACAAAGTTGCAATACAGTGCCAAAATGTTGTGTGGGATAGAATCCAATTCAGTATAACAAAATGAAAAATTAATGGTCTGTTAGTCCCAGCTAAGACAACCAGCATGGTATAGTGATAGGAGTGTTGGACTAGGACACTAGGAGACCAGGGATCGAATCCCCACTGAGCCACGGAATCCACAGGGCAACCTTGGGCAAGTAACACTCCCTCAGTACAAGGAAGGCAAGAGTCTCTAAAAAAATTCTGCCAAGAAAATCCCATGATAAGGTCAGTTTAGGATTGCCATAAGTCACAAATGACTTGAAGGCACACAACACATAGTCCCATCTAGCAGCCTGTGGAATCAGTGGTATTCAGATTAGTGTTGATTTAACAAGTTAACACTAACTTTCTGAATCTACTCCAGTTGGGAGTAGTAACAGTAGGATTTAGGCCAGTGGATTGGATCTAGAGTTATCCTTTGCCAGTGAGAATTGCTCAGGACACTCTTATCAGGAGTGTTTGTGTACATGTTTGCAGTTTTTGTAGTTTTCTTCTGCAACCATGGTGTCATTTTTGGTGCTCTTCCAAGGAACCTTCCAATACTCTGGAGACAGAAAGAGATAAAGTAGTGAAGACTGTACTGTTCAACCAGTGGAAATGTATTGCATTATATCAGACGTTTCCCACACAAGGAAAGAGTAGAGATGGAGAGAATATTAGAAAATATTCATAAATAGTTCCAAATACTAAATAGTCTTCAAAAATGGCCCAGTTTTCAATGACTTTCTCGCAACAAGAGAAAAATGTTAAAATTATTTGTTCTTGCCCACAAGAACAAAATTTACAAAGATTTACATCCTTAGGAAGGGATCTTTCCATCCACTGGACACAAGCTTCAGATGCAAGCCACAGCATTTAGGGACCAAAAAACAAGTATTGTCAGGAAGTGGTAGAAAAGAAAAGGAGGTGGAGATCCTGGTTTGTTATGAGATGACTGAGCTATCCGTGTGATGCACTGTAAAGAAGTCTAATGTGATTTTAATAGATTTTAGATCAAGCCTCCAGGTAGGACAGTATTAATAGCACTGGCAAGGTCATTATTATGAGTACTGCATCCAATTTTGGTCAATCACATTCAAATTGGATGTATTCCAACAAGGAAAAATGTAAAGCACAAATATAATTATTACAGAAATGGGGAGAATGTCTTGCTTCACTGAAGCGAAGTCTGGGTAAAGAGGATTTTCTCTCCACCTTTCAGGCTTGCAGATGTGTTTGAGAGAGGTGATGTGCAACATTTTAAAGGGTTTTGTTTTGTCCTCAGCACATTTTAGGCCTGCACTAAATATGTTTGATGTGTGAATGAATTCTTTATCTACACATTATTTAAAAATAACAGTTCTAGAGGTTGCACATGGAACTGAGGTGCTTGGGAAGACGGATTCCTATTTACCTCCAAACTACTATTTTCCCTAAAAGTAAGTGGTCAAATAACAGGATGAAAAGCACATTTTTTCCATTCCATATTAATTGCCTTCTACCCATATGCTCCAAGCTCTCAATCGGACCACCACCCCGTCACACTAGAGCAATTGTGAAAGGCTGTTCCATTGTTTCTTCAATGAAGTGAGTAATGCCTAGCTTATTCCCCACTAGAATCCTATTAGACCCAGCTAGAGTAGACCCATTAAATCAAGGAGGGTGGGTGGGCATGTAAGTGTTGACCCCCTCTCATTGATTTATTATGTAGATGAAGCTATGTAGGACTTGGGTCATTAAGTATAAAATAAACCGTATTATGTAGAGTCAAACTAGCGAGAATATAATCTATGATTCCACCCCGACACACACACACACACACACACACATACACACACACACACACACAGGAAAGATCAATGTTGTATTTCAAGAAAATATACTTTTGTAAATTATACTCAACTGTTTCAGTTTAGGAACACCATGCCTGCATTTTGCCACACGTCTTAATTAAAGAAATGGTATTGGAGATCGCTAGTCAAGTGCAAATTAAATCTAATTCATCTACACAAAAGTCATAACTTAAAATTAGTTCCTCCCAGCTTCTTTATTTTGTCCATACAATGGCATCAGACAAGTAGATAAAGTAGAAAATCCAATTAAGAAAACAAAGGAAAAGAAAGAATAGTGGCAACATTGTTTGAACAGCAATATATCTAATCTACACAGAAAAGAGAGCAAATTAAAATTGCAAATGTAGGCAAATAATTCTTGGTGTTTTTGTACTATTTCAAACAGGGAGGTTGCAGAAGCCCTAAAGAGCTTTTTTCCCAAGCTAAAACCCAACATAAAAGATGAGCAAAAATGCCAACCACCTTTGCAGTTCAATTATGACAATGACAAACTCTGCAAAACAACATTATTGCCTGAAGTACTTAACATTATTCTGGCTGCAACATTAAAGCAGCATCATTTCCTCACTAATGTGTATCTGATTTAATTGGCATGTCTCCAGGGCTGAAGGGCAAATTTACTTTCTCACCAGTCAAATGTTTTAAGGGCAAATATGTCTCTTCTCTGTTCCTTCCCCTCCCCTCCCCCCTTTATTTTTTCCCTGTAAGATTAACTAGTGACATCTGAATCAAGTACTATTATTTTTAATAAGGTTTATAAATACAACTTCATTATTTTATTGTATTGCCTTACTTTTTTCAAGAAGCATAGGACACTGTTTAAGACCAAGTCAAACATGGTTCAAAGAAATATCTGTTCTGACAGTAGGATCTCCAGGGTCTCAGGCTGATGCCTTTCACATCATCTGCTTTCTGATTCTTTTGAAGATATTCAGTATTGAACTCTGGGACGTTTTGCACATAAAACATGTACTTTACTGCTAAATGAGCTATGCTTCCTTCCTAAGACAGTTGTCATTACTGAAACATGTCATCCCCTATAAAACAATGTTTCTGTTTAAAAATACATTTCTGTGGAGGATTTAAAGCAGGGGTAGGCAACCTTTCCCCTTTAAGGGCCGAAGGACTTCAGCTCCCAGAAGCCTCAGCCATGTTGGCCAATAGTCCATGTTGGCCAATAGCTCCTGGGATTCTGGGAGCTGAAGTCCCCCAGCCTTTAAAGGGGAAAGGTTGCCTACTCCTGTTTTAAGGTCTTTCATGCCAATAACAGTAGTCCTGAAAGTCCTGATGACAAGAGACTACTGTCAGAACAGAACACAGAGTTCCCAATTGGCAAAGGGGTCAGACAAGGCCGTATCCTTTCACCCTATCTGTTCAACCTGTATGCAGAACATGTTATAAGAAAAACAGGCTTGGACACAGAAGAAGGAGGAGAAGTGAAAATAGGAGGAAAGAATATCAACAATTTAAGATACACAAATGACACCATAATCCTAGCAGAAAACCTCACAGACCTGGAATACCTACTAAGGAAGATCAAGGAAGAAAGTGCAAAGGCAGGCTTAATGCTTAACATAAAGAAAACAAAAATAATAACCACCAAGGACCTTCACAAGTTCAACCTAGACAATGAAGAAATAGAAATAGTAAAAGAATTCCCATACCTGGGATCAAACATTGAAAGAAATGGGGACTGCAGTCAGGAAATCAGAAGAAGACTAAGAATGGGGAGGGTGGCTACGAAAGAGCTAGAAAAGATTCTAAATGCAAAAATATACAACTCAGCTCAAAAGTTAGAATCATAGAAGCCATCTTATTCCCTATTACCACATATTGCCATAAACCATATGGATGTGAGAGTTGGACATTTCAAAGCTGATAGGAAGAAAATCAATTCATTTGAGATGTAGTGCTGGAGAAGAGTGCTGAGGATTCCATAGACAGCCAGTAGGACAAACAAGTGGGTCCTATAGCAGATCAAGCCAGAAACCTCCCTGGAAGCCAAGATGACCAAACTGAGACTATCATACTATGGACACATCATGAGAAGGCATGAATCGTTGGAAAAGATAATAAGGTTAGGAATGGTGGAGGGAAGCAGGAAGAGAGGAAGGCCATATCCAGATGGATGGAATCTATTAAGGAGGTCACTGGTATTAAGAGTTTGCAGAAATTAAGCAGAGCAGTGGAAGACAGAAGGTCTTGGAGATGTCTTATCCATAGGGTTACCATGAGTTAAGGGCAGTTAACAACAAATGCCAATAATAAGATCTGTCAGTTTGCTTATCTATTTAGCTTCTGTGGAACATTTGTGTACAAATATACCTCAGTTGTGTCATTTCCAGCTTATGTTGACCCTAAGGCGAACCCATCTTTTTTTTTTTTCCCGAAGGTTTTTCTTGAGCTAAGAAAATTGTTGTAAGCCGCTTGTTGTAAGCTGTTGCAGAGGGGCGGGATGGAAATAAATTTTATTATTATTATTATTATTATTATTATTATTATTATTATTATTATGAGAATGTGTGTTTCACCCAAAGTTATCCAGTGGGTTTCCATGGCTGAATGGGGAATCGAACCCCGATCTCTAAAGTTGTAGTCCAGTGCTCATACCACTACACCATGCTGATATTGGTAGCCAGCTGGCAGATCTTTGCTTTTTTAAAACTTCCTGGGGTTAACTAGTGAGGCAGGCTTATCTTTATCCTTAGCTGCCCTAGCTTTGTCCTTGACACATGACGACCCTGTGAATGAGACATCTCCAAGACTACCTGTGCAGGATTATTATCTATTGAGGCGCGTACATGGATACGCAAATTAAATTTGTGGCTTAAAATGTTATTTGTTCCAACTGGATTGGTTCCATTAATCTTAACAGATTCTTTCTTATCCCCTTGGAAAAAATCACTGGCTTTGAAACTCTCTTTTCTTGGACTATCACCATTGGAAATATCGGCACTGGGTTATGATAAAGCAAAATCTGAAATTTCCCAACGTATCAAGGACATTGACTTTCAAACTCACATAAGTCAGTCATCTTTGTATTCTATTAGAGAAACGAGTAGACCAGGTAAATGTGCCAAATATTTTGAAAATTTGCATGTTGTGAAATTTAAGAGAGCTTTTATGTTAGCAAGGTTTAATATAATACCTTCGGCAGTCCTGGAGGGCAGATTTAAAAAGACCCCTTATCAATATAGACTTTGTCCCTGTGGGTCAGAAGAAGTTGAAAACATAAATCATGTAATTTTTGGTTGTTCTCTATATGCAGATACACATGCCCTATATATAACTCCAATCATATTACAATATCCAGTTAGGCAAATGGAATTTTATACAAACTACCTATTAGCGGATCAAAAGGAAGGTATTTGCAGCCGCTATTACAAATCGTAAAAAGTACTTAAAACAGAATCAATAAATTTGAATCAATTTTTTTTAAAAAATTAAATTTGTACATATGATCTGATCAAACGATAAATTGATAGTTCGAGGGGGTACAGCTGTAGTATATTATTATATTTTTGATTAGTGATTCATCCAATAAAACTTTGGTAAATTTATTTTGTTCATTAAATTTTATTTCTCAGTTTTTATGATAATATATAATATATTCTAAATATAACTTAATATTATATTATGATTTGGAATTACCTACCATTTAAAAATAGTCTACTTATTATAATTGGAAGTCTGTTTCATTTTCTTTAAGTTTTCTATATGATTTGCTAAGATTTACAAGTTTACTTTGAAGAACTCATTGCATATAATTGATGTGATGTGTCCTACAATTATCCTTCCGTTTTTTGCAACAATGATAGCTACATGGCCGTAATAAAAAATTTAGATTTAGAAAATCATCAGGGGGTACGGCTGTAGTACACTATCATACTTTTGATTGGGGAACAATATAATATAACTTTGGCAAATTTACTCTGTCCATTAAAAGACATTTCTTCATTTATAATAATATATTCTAAATATAACTCATCATTGTATCTTGATTTGGAATCATCTATGATTGTAGTAACAAAGACTAGACTTAGATAATGTGAGGGGGTACAGCTATAGTATAGTATTATCTTTGATTAGGAACCAATATAACATAATCTTGGTAAATTTACTCTGTCTATTAAATTCTATCCCTCAGTTTTATAATAGTACATTTTAAATATAAATTTGTTATTGTATTATGATTTGGAACCACCTATGATGTAAAACAATCTGTTTATTGTATTTGGAAGTCTGCTTTGTTTCCGTATGATTTGTTTATATTTACAAGTTTATTTTTGAGAACCTACTGTGTATAATTGATATGAGGTGTTTTATATCATTTTTGTTTATTTGTAAAATGCTGGCCATATGGCCGTAATAAAGATTGATTGATTTTCTGCACAAAAAGACAGCAGTGTTGCACAAAAACATACATGGCTGCCTTGAAACAGTGTTTTTTGCACCAACACCCACAATTCTCATGTAAAAACATATTTCTGTGCAGAAATATTTCATGAAACACTTTGGAGTGTGTGAATGCCAGTCAAGAACTGAACAGAAATGCAAGTTTTCTCTGCAATGAGGAGGAATCTGGGAATTATTAATCCTTATTTGCAAGGACGAAATAGTGGAATATTAACATTCCTGGTGTGTATGTCAGGATTGCAAGCATTGTTGTAGAAAAGTTTGTGTTCTAGGGATTTTTCTTAATTATGTTGAAATTACACCCATCATTTTTGGTAAGTAATTCATAGACATTTGGATTAACTAACGGTACTGCCTCTGATAAGTCATTCACTGCTCAACCCTACTTCAACTTCTGTTTACTTTTTTCGTTTTCAATTTATCTTGTTTTAATTATCTGGTTGAAAGTTGTTCTTCTTGATCAGCCATTTGAAATTCCTGAGCCACAGTCTGACCATCCTTGGAAAATTCTTCTTTTCTTACTATTAATTACAGCAGCCTTTGGTTCAGTAAAGAATATTACAATTCATTATAATTCATTTCATTATAAACATTATAAAAACACTTTTTTTGCGCCAAGCTTCTGTTACACTAAATGTGTTTGAAGCAAAGAACATTAGTTGCACTTCACTCCTACTGAAAGCAATGCAAACAGTTAAATCATGGCTTTGTTCAATGGGATTTATGTTTGACTAAATTTTTTTGGATCCATTTCAACGTACCCCAATTCATATATGTT